AGGAAATTTATGATTAGAAACAAGTAAGAGTTTGTCATTTATTGTTCCATTCATAACTACTTCGTCTAAGCTAATATAGAATGTAACACACGTATAATTTACTTTTCTCTTCAATATTTAAAATACTATATAAAAAAAATAAAACGGTTTAATATTTTTTTGAATTATTAATGCTCAGGATATTTAAGAAAAATAACGTTTAATGAAATATAATATGTTACGAAGTATAGCAAAAGAATACTGTCCCCAGATTCAGAAGAGAATGTTGAGAAGCGGCGCATGCGTGTCAATCGTAAACATCAATGAATCGTCTGTGAAAACCTTTTTTCCCCTTTTTTTTCCATTCTTTTATTACCCCAAAGGGGCAGTTTGCCCAAGAAGGGCTATTAATTCATTTTGGCATTTTATGTTCGTTTTCTATAAACGGGCAATGACTTTTTAAATTGTTGCCACCGAATATTATCGCTCTGTATTATATTTAAAGAAATTAAATAATGAAGAAACTGCATGAATATATGCACGTTTATCGTATTTAAACAGTTATTATTAGTTATGTTCGAATTAAAGGCTGGCTGCATGAAGCTTTTATGGTTTTATTTTATGAAATGTGCGTAGAAGCCAGTTTCCCTTAAAGCGTCTTCCACGAAGTAGTCCCTGTAGCTAGATAGCCTTACAGTTTCTTTCCCTTAATCAATTAACCTAAACTAAGAAAAAGTAGTGCTTTTCAGGCGATCGATATTATACATGCAAGTAATATGATGTATAATGCAAATTTAAAGCTCCTAATATATGCTCATTTAAGTTTCTATAATATCGAATCTAAGAAAAACATTTCTAGAAATTTCGAGCACACAACTAGCTTATCAGCTGCAGTTGTAGATCGAATCGGATTCTTTGCCGCATACGTAGTTAGGATATGCATAAAAGCAGCAATTTAGATCTCAAATTCTGGGGGGGGGGAGGGGAAGTCTTAGTTGAAAATGAATTGTTTAAATGATCGTAAATGAAGCTGTAAAGATTAACATTCTTCCGTGCATTTGTGCAATGATAAAAAAAAGAACAAAAATGGTTTGTTTTAGTGTCAAACACTATTAAAGAGATTGGAATAAGTTTTCATTTTAATTACTCTTTTCTACGTTACAATAATGGTGGGATTTGAGACAAAACGCATATGCTTAAATAATAGCATTGAAAATTTGGAAAGATTTCAAAACTGGACTTGGTATATCTAATGAGATGTAAACAATGAAATCTAAAGACTTTTGTGTTTTAAAATTAACTCATTAATAATTTTACGACACAGTTTTGATTCACTTGAAAAATAAAACGCTTGCCTTAATGAAACATTTGACTGCTTCTCAGCTTTCAAATGTTAATTTAGAAGTCATTACTTTTTTACGTCAGACCTTGTTAATTATTTAAAAGGATGTATGTATTATATTCCATATGATTTCTATGGTAATCAGAAACGGAAAAGCCGAAAGCAATTCAAGAACAAATGGTTTCTGTGTTCAGACGCAGTTTTCTTTAGATTTCTTTGAGGAAAGAATTACTTCATTAAATCTGACTATAAATGGAAAAATAAAATAAACTAAGTTAAGTTTTAGAATATTAGAGAAATGAATGAAACTTTTTCTTCGTTAGCAAGATTAGAAAGTATTCTTCGTCTTGCATCCTGTTCGAAAAAGTTTTTTATTCGAATGTGCAGTCCAATTTGTGCATTAATTAAACACTAATTGCGTTATGTGGAAATTTCAGGATAAAAAAGAAACTTTCTTTTAAATCCTAGTTTCAGAAAATATTAGGGTAGAACTGTTCGACACGTTTCCTGCCGAAATTTAAATATTTATTTTATCTGCAGTAACTAACATCTGATATTATGAAGTTAAAAGTGTGTTGGGTTAATAGACAAAATTTAGGCACTTGTAACTGAAAGATTTGCTTGATAGGTTGGAAGATTTAAGTATAGCTTGAATTATATATTTCTGCATTATGAACGGCATATATGGTATTTTGTTCTAGAGTAATATTTAAAGCTGAAAATAATTGTATTCTCCACATTATTTTCATTAAAATGTTTTGCATCTCACGTAGTGTATGAGATGGTAATATTAACTTCCAAATTCTGACATCAAGACCAAATTGCAGATTTAAACCAAATGTCTTTTTATTAATCGCTTGTCTTTGGAAAAATTACTTCTATGGGAGTTGCACGTAGAGCAAACCTATTTCCATGACCAAAGGTTTACTTTCATAGAATTAGTATCTTTGCTCAAAATTATTTCGTATTGCACTGAGATCATGTAGAATAGTGGTTCTCAAGTATTTTCGTTGTACTCAAAACTTAATAAATCACAATTTTTAAGTGGCGTCTGAAATGGGGTTCCCCAAGTCAGAACATTGAAGGACCTGTGTTCTAAATCACCCTCCAAGCTATTCAAGGAAAGCGCAGTTGATTTGTTTGTCATCTAAATGCAGTTAAATGGCGATAAGCAAACATAAAAGTTTAATCAAACTTTCTTAATCCAAAGCGCGAAACGAGATTCGAGATACTCATTTAGAATATGTAGAACCTTATTTATTATTAGCTGTAAGAAAGGGAAAAATACCGCGTGGTTATACAAACACTAACAACTTTATATAAAAGTAAGGTAAAATAGTAAAACATTACGTAGGAGAGAGTTTCTGCGCGATCAAGTCTCTCAGTTAAGGGGGTTAAGGTAACGTCGGATACCTTCCTTGCTTCCGCTTCCAGTGGCGTCTCTACAGAAGTACTTTCCTGATAAAAGAAGCGAAAAGTGAAAAATAGAACCCTTGCCTCCCAGTGAGGGTGGGGGACATAAAAGTTTTGGTGAGGTTGGCTGTCATTGCTGAATCGGTAACAGGTCAGAATATTAGCTATTTATAAGTTGTAAAGCAAAGCTGACGTGGTCAGGTTGATCTAATTAAGAAATAAATGGAAAACATTGAAATTCAGAAACATGCCTTTTTAAATGTATAAAACAATTCCTTTCCGAACAATCATATCATTAGATGAATGAATGGCAGTTAGAGAATTGGGAAAATTTTTAAACTGCACTTCCTTCTGTACACAGTCATTTCATAATCCGTACGGATCATGTTGCTTGTTTTTTGTCACAGTGTCTGTCCACGTTTTGCACAAACATGACATAATTCAAGGACTATTCCTTTTTTAATGATATTCTTTAACCAGTTTATTTCTTGTCTTCATATTTTATTTCCAGTGCATTACAGCAAGTAAAATTTTCTTCTACAGCACTATACTCTACCGGAGCTTTGATTTTGACAGTATTGTTACGTTTTTTCTTCTTACGTACGTTCGTACGGTGCTCGTGCGAATTTAGAGTGAATAATGACAACATCACTTGATAAAGTATCAAAACACACCTTATTGGCCAGTGTTCTCAAGACAGCTCCAAAATCACGTTTTTACAGTCGTCGAAGAACTACTACGCTGTAACATTCAGCAACACAACCTTCAGGTTATAACGGTGAAGACAGCTTCACGGCAAAGCACCATAGTACAGCTCCCGACACTATTCGGTCGTTCTCGGAACTCTACCTATTCTCTCGAGACTCTCCACAGTACAACTCGCGATGCACTCCGATACACTAGTACAGCTCCCGACTCCTCAGTTCAGTCGTTTCCGGAGCTCAACGTACTCTAAGATCAAACTCGATGATGCACTAAATCTCGACACTCTAAGAGACTCTCTTGATGCACTCGACGACCAACTCGGCATTAGGCACTCACTGACTATCAACCCAATGGACTCGGCACGGATTAATTAGCTCTCCGCGTACCAGCAGGGTATATATAGCTTTTATCTTGTGTTCGAGAACATTCTGGGCTAAACCTGTAAGAATTCGTTCCAGAAGGTTCTCCATCCTTCTATAGCATATCGCCAATTTTGTCACAAACTATTATAAAATGGGCGATTTGTCGCCAGATGTGGCAACCCTAAACTTGCTTTGTTGGAAAGAGCGCGTTCGACACCCTCTGGTGGCCTGCTATAAAACAAGCCCTCAGACTAGCACGCTGCCCGGCAAATATCTTTAACAACTTTAATAGCTATTTGAAGAACCGAAGCTTTTTAATTTCCAACGACAACGGCACTACCACCAAAAGCCAGGAGCGAGGATGCCCCCAGGGCTCCTGCGCCGGACCGGTTCTCTGTAACCTAACTTTCAATTCTGTGCTGAAAGCTGACTGGCCACAGCATACTACAGTTGTTGCTTACGCAGAGGACGTCGCTCTGCTGGTCAAGGGACGCACACGGAAGGAATTAGAAAGATATGGGACTGCAACATGTACCATATTCGAAAACATGTGCACTGCATTAAAACTCAAAATTTCCACTGAGAAATCCATGGCCCTTGTCATCCCTAGGGCAGGTACAAATCCATCACGCCGTCCTTGTATCAAATTGCACAATCAAAACATTAAGATAGTCTCAAACCTTAAACATCTAGGCCTTATCTGGGATCAAGGACTCACGTGGCTCCCGCACATTCAAGACATCAGAAAGAAGACTATCACCATTGCAAGGAAGGCACGCACCTTTCAAGGGCAAAATTGGGGGCAGAACCATCATATACAGAAGATCCTATATCACACTGTGGCAGAGAAGATCGCCACGTACGCTGCCGCTGACTGGGGCCCCCAATGGGCCACCCAGGGGCTCGTAAAATCAAATTACTGACTACCGTCCAACGCCCTTTCGCCCTCAACCTCACGAAAGCCTTTCGCACAACTGCAACAAGTGCGGTGACTGTCCTTGCGGGGTTGCTGCCTCTCCACATCAAAGTAGAAATGGAAGCGGCATATACAACTCTAGTATACTTGAGAAAAGACATTCTACAATAGCACCTACAGCCCAGTCCAGTTTGAAACACCTGGACACACTCTCCACACACACCCGGCAATTAAAGGCAAAGGAATTTCTGTCATCATTCCACGCACCCCTACCAACACTGGAATGCAAGTACCTTCACAAGGTACCCACATCTTTACAGATGGTTCTAAACAGGAGGAATGTGTAGGCAGTGCCTACATCCACTACCAGGATGGCCTGATAGAACAAGAATGGAAAGGTCGTTTGCAAAATCACAACAGCATCTTCCAAGCGGAGGTCCTGGCCATCACAGCAGTAATGCAGCACATTGTCCATAATGATCTAACTCATGCCACACTTCATACAGACAGCTACTCAACACTTCAAGCCCTTCAGAACCATCAGCACAGATCCCCACTAGTCATCGCCCTTCAGCACCTCTTGCAGCAAAATTCACATATGCACACGAGGCTGATGTGGATAAAAGCACATGCCAACAACGAAGGCAATGAGTCAGCAGATCGTTTAGCCAATCAGGCAGTAACCGACTCAAATACACAGCAGATCCACCTTCAAGCCCCACCTTCCTATCTAAAGGGACAGCTCAGGAGTAAAGGGCTCCAATGGCAGGAGGAATGGAACCATAGCACAACTGGCCGCCGCACCTACGATTTCTTCCCCAAAGTCAGCACGGATCGACACATCGCAATCGCTCCGCTGACACGATATATCACGGGACACGGCCCATTCCCCAGTTACTTCCAAAGGCACAACAGATATATGCGTCATATCTCATCAACAGATATATGCGTCTGTGGAGCCCCAGGCAACCCAGACCACTATCTTTTCACCTGCCAGCTGACAAAAGACCATCACTTCCCATGTCCAACCATGAACAAAGATGCGTACCACCGCTTTATCATCACTCACAAGCCAGCCATAACCAAAATCTGCAAAGCTATCACTCAAATCGGGGCAATGGGCCAAGATATCTGCTCACCGCAATAGACCAGATTAAACACGATCATCTTTTCGTCCCCCCTACCGACTATCCAACCTTTTAAAAAGCTTTTCACTCAGGGGCCACCCCCACAAGTTGTTAAACAAAAGCTCCCCACCACCAAGCCTTCAACTTTATGTGCACACGTCAATCTTCTTTAGAACTTACCTTACCGGTGTGCTAGCAGAGTACCAACTGTGTCAAACTCAAAGTGCCTTCGAATGCCTACATCACCTTCCAACCTATTGCAATGAATGGTACACCGCACGTATACATCATGCACCAACTCCGACTATGCCTAAGCACTAGTGCACACATCAGTGAAGATCAGTACCTACACCGTACTTGTTCACAGTCATAGTAACTGTGCAACCACTGTGACTGTGTAATGAAATTACTGTGCCTAACATAGTGTCTGCGCTGTAGTGACTGTACCAACCTATAACAATTGCATTAAAACTTAGTGACTGTGCCAAACTCCAAATTTAGTGCTACTAGTACCACAGTTTACACTAAACTTTAGTGTAGCCTGAACTCTTGCAAATTTGAACTATAGTGCAGATCGTACTTTCAGCGAACTCTAACACTAACTCCTGGCACCATAACTCGACATCCGGTACTAATAGCTTCATCTCTGTGTTTAAGTGCTCACAGCATATTTGCAACCCCAAGGATACCAGCAATACACATATGACTCTATAAGTATTTATTACTCTTGTTTTTACTATTGTATCTTACATATGTGTCTCTCTTCATATTATCTTAATATCAATGCATCCTTATGTTCGTATCTGTTAGTATTTGTTTGTTTTTGCCTGTATATGTATCTATTCTTGTATTTGTTTTGTATATTTTTTATGTATCTGTGTTATTCCAACAGCCATGCACACCCACAAAGTTATTGTCACGCAACCATTGTCAAACAATAATCCTCAGCCCCTGTTTGGCCATGTATTGATCTTTAGATCTGTATTATAAACTCCCGAGGCAGCCTCACGGGGCCCCCAGGGAGTTGTTATTCCTAGATAGGGGAGGGCGTGGGACACACGCCTGTTTACCTATGTTAAACATCAGGCGTCCCCGTCCTCCGTCACCTGTCACCTATCTTACCGTACCTGTACATTTCGTAACATTATCTTAGATCCAAAGGAAATTTTCATTACCCCTTTTTCAATTTCAAATCAGTTTAAAGCTTCAAAATGCTGTACCAAATGAATGTTTCTGTAATATTTTATAGAAGCACCAGTGCAGTCCTTTTCTTAACGTTTGTGAACGAAGTATCAAATTTATGAAATTATTTAGATATTTTGACGACTTACTTTAAGTCACCAATGGCCCCTGAAGGAGCGGCGACGACGATGTAGAAAAATTACTGTGGGAGGTGTTTGAGAGACTAGGAATTAATTCTTAGTTAAACAGATACTTTACAGTTGGAACTACTGTTGTAAGCAGTGGTATTCGGAGACATAGTTTATGGTCCTCCTTGCTAAAGTGAAATCATCTAGTAAAGAGCTTGTCGAAATTCTGTGCTATAGAATGGATTTGCATCTTATTAAAGGGTATCTCGGTATGCTAATATATATTAAGGATCGAGGAGAAATGTAAAGTTATGAGGTTTGTATTTCATCTTTTCTTCCGTTTACAAAAAATCTATTCTCTATAAGAGTTATCAAGATAATTTCTTTTCCCTTAGCTTCACCCTCACTCATCGTAAACTTTCAATAAACTTTAAACACTTTGTAACCAACAGAAAGTTTTGCATACACTGTTTGTCCAAAAGGTTTTCCATATATGCATAATAGGGAGTTTATTGTATTTTCGATGCTCAACAGATTGATATTGTTTGAGCATATCATTCTGTTTCGGCATAATGTAATAATGTCAAGTTGTAAAATGTCCTTAAAGGAGTTAGACGGAAAAAAATTAATCGGACTAAGAAAAAGTATTCCACAGATATTCTTAGACAGAACAAGTATTAGGTTAGTTTTTTTTATTTAATGGATGTATATTTACTTGTGTATGTACGACTCATTTAAATGAAAGTAGTACTCATGTGGATATGGATTTAAGGACTATTTAATGACAAGTCCTTTTTTAAAAGAAAAATATAAGATCTATGTAATGCAAGAGCTGATGAATCATTGATCTATCATATTATGATCTCTTTCTTGTGTATGACCCTAATGCAATAATGTGATTCATTTGAGTTTAGATTAATTATGCAATATTTTCTACAACTTTACCATTATTAAACAACCTGCGCTGGACAGTTTTTGGTAAAACGTTATTTGCGCCAACGGAATACTTCAAGAGAGAAAACTTATTTTGATAATCAGCACAGATCATCTGTGGTAAAATTTTACTAAACATAAACCTTTTTAGCTCAAAACGAAAGAAACAGAAAGAGTTTAAAAATCTTTTATTAGCAGCATTTACATCGAAAACAAGAAAACTGTTGCAACTGCGATATACATACTGTTATAAAACATTAGAATAACACAAAACAGTTAGAGGTGATCAGAAGCCAATGTTGGCATATTTATATTTCTGCAGAAAATCTCTCTGCAAGTGCTGTCGTTTAACAGAAAAGATCCTAATTTCATTTATGAAATGAAGACATTGCTGCTATATGCAATAACTGAATTATTCCCCTTTTAGAAACATGTAATGAAATTGTATGACATAAATTGTGTAAAATGGTATAAATAAATTGCTACTATTTAAAGTTATAAATGTTATATTTATCAACAAATAAATATTATTTAATAATACATACGTCATGTAACGATTGCGTAATTAAATTCATCAATCAAAAAGTTCTTTATTGAGTATTATTATTATTTACAAATAATCTTTGATGTTATTTATTGGAAGACATGAAATATTTAATAACAACTCTTGCTTCAAATTTTTCTTTTAATACTTATTCCGTGATTTTCGAATTTTATCTTTTATGCTAAGAAAATTTCCTTTCAGAAATTTATTTCTGAAAACAGGCTAATGAAATGTAAATTAAAGAACGAGAAGGAATTGAAAAAAAGAAAGTAGAGGATCCATTGATTATTCTGTAGCACCTGTAAATTGCGTAGATATCATAGCTGTAAATATAAATATTGTAACCTTAAATATTTGTTTTTCAGTTATTCATTATTTTTTAATCAAAGTACTGATGGTGTGCATCACTGGCTAGTGCAATAATTCCATACGGCAAAGATGCCACTTATGCCCTAGAGGAATATTTATTCATGTTATTTGTGACAAATGTGAAAAATATCTTTGTTTTACAAGGTCAGAAACTGTTTTAGAGCTTATCATTTGTAAATAACTGTACATAAACTAAACGAAATCTAAAAAAATGTGCTTGAAAATTTGAAAACTCATTTGATTTGTACCCTATTCTACCCATGGTAGCATATTTGCTACCATTAAAAAAACATTAAAAAATATCTTTTTTTTTTTTTTTTTTTTTTTTTCGCCATGTTTATTTTATTTATCCTAAAATAACACTGTTTTAACTAACAAATAATTTTTTGTTTGAAAATTTCTTGTGATGATCATTAGAGGGTTAAACTTTTTTTTTTTTTATTCTTCCTTTCACATTTCGAAATTTAGGTTCATTCCGAATAAAGTTCGCATATATTTTATGATTTATTTTTGAAATGTGTATTTTAAAATAATTTTTATAAATTTTTCGAAAACAATTTGAATTATAACCTATAAAGGTTTTACCATCATCTTAAAGTAGATATATTTATAGTAGATGATCTAAGCAAATGCAAAATTTAGAGTATTTTATTCAAAATTTCGTAAGATATACGTGAATTTACATATTGTCACGTTTTGAAATTTAACATAATCCTTATAAACCATAATAAAGCCAATTGTAGTTTACGCATATTGATAAAATTATTTGAAAGTGTGAACGATGACGTTTCTTCCGTTCCTGTACAATGAAAAAAAGAAAAGGACAATAAGTTGCAGCCAAGTTAATTATTCTTGGCGCAAACTGACAAAAATGCTCCAAGGTACTTTTTTCTTAAATTTCTCCATAAATTTATCGCCAGAAATTACAAAATTTAATATCTAGGCATAATTTGAGTCGTAGAATCGAAATATGGAAAGAAATTGGTATGTTATTTCACAGGAAGTCCAATTTTGTGTAAAAATACCGATATTAGAACAATGCTATATATACATCTGCTATATATGAATCTCGTGAGTCGGCCCAGTAGAACGGGAGATATAGAACGTAATTTTTTCCCAGTGTACATTTTGCTTATTCCATACATTTTCTTCTTACACAACCGTTTCGTTTAAGGTGAATATTTAGCCCTTGCTATAAACTTTAATTGTGTGAATTCACTTCAACATCATAAAAAGAAGTGATATATTTTGGTGCAAATTTAATTCTCTATTTTACAATGTTTGGCATTAATTAACCAGTTATCTTACTGCTTTGATGTTCTGTACTTGTACATTTCATTAACTTCCACCAGAATGCAAATTACTTCCGATTATAAAAAAGCATCAAGTTTCAGATTTTAACATAGGGCAACTGGAAGCTTTAGGCTAACTTATTACTCTTCCTTGCATTTCTGTCTTTTGCGACTACTTGCCTACAAAGAATTATTTTCTTTAATTCTCAGAGACACACAAATTTTAGGATGGGTTTGGTTTAGATCGTGAATGAGTTTATTTTAAACTAGTTTGATAAGCCTGTTATTCTGCTTGCAAATTAGCAGAAATTAGTTTAGTTTAATTTTGGTTTCCTAATGATCAGGTTGAAGTGTTAAGTAATATTTTGTTTTGTATTTTACTCTGATCATTGCAATTCCAGCTAAGAAGTCTAACGGGACAGAAACTTGTTTGACAGTCTTTTACATTTAATCAGATGTTTCCGGTACTTTATTCATGTAATCGTATAACCTTGGACACTGCTGCTATTTCATATCTACGCAGAGCTAAGATTTAATTCTCAAAAATTTAAAGACTCGTTTGAAAATTCGTT